TTTGGGTGGAAACACAAAAGACCCCGAATAGCCAAAGCAATATTGAGAAAGAAAAACGGAGCTAGAGGAATCAGGCTCCTGGACTTCAGACTATACTACAATGCTACAGTAGTGAAGACAGTATGGTACAGGCACAAAAACAGAAAGATAGATCAATGGAACAGGATAGAAAGCCCAGAGATAAACCCACGCACATATGGTCACCTTATCTTTGATAAAGGAGGCAAGAATATACAATGGAGAAAAGACACCCTCTTCAATAAGTGGTACTGGGAAAACTTGCCAGCTACATGTAAAAGAATGAAATTAGAACACTCCCTAACACCACAGACAAAAATAAACTCAAAATGGATTAAAGACCTAAATGTAAGGCCAGACACTTAACGAACTCTTAAAGGAAAAAAGACATCAAACTCTTAAAAGAAAACATAGGCAGAACACTCTATGACATAAATCACAGCAAGATCCTTTTTGACCCACCTCCTAGAGAAATGGAAATAAAAACAAAAATAAACAAATGGGACCTAATGAAACTTCAAAGCTTTTGCACAGCAAAGGAAACCATAAACAAGACCAAAAGACAACCCTCAGAATGGGAGAAAATATTTGCAAATGAAGCAACTTACAAAGGATTAATTTCCAAAATTTACAAGCAGCTCATGCAGCTCAATAACAAAAAAACAAACAATCCAATCCAAAAATGGGAAGACCTAAATAGACATTTCTCCAAAGAACATATACAGACTGCCAACAAACACATGAAAGAATGCTCAACATCATTAATCATTAGAGAAATGCAAATCAAAACTACAATGAGGTATCACCTCACACCAGTCAGAATGCCCATCATCAAAAAATCTAGAAACAATAAATGCTGGAGAGGGTGTGGAGAAAAGGGAACACTCTTGCACTGTTGGGGGGAATGTAAATGGATACAGCCACTATGGAGAACAGTATGGAGGTTCCTTAAAAAACTACAAATAAAACTACCATATGACCCAGCAATCCCACTACTGGGCATATACCCTGAGAAAACCATAATTCAAAAAGAGTCATGTATCAAAATGTTCATTGCAGCTCTATTTACAATAGCCTGGAGATGGAAACAACCTAAGTGTCCATCATTGGATGAATGGATAAAGAAGACGTGGCACGTATATACAATGGAATATTACTCAGCCATAAAAAGAAACGAAATTGAGCTATCTGTAATGAGATGGATAGACCTAGGGTCTGTCACACAGAGTGAAGTAAGTCAGAAAGAGAAAGAAAAATACCATATGCTAACACATATATATGGAATTTAAGAAAAAAAAAATGTCATGAAGAACCTAGGGGTAAGACAGGAATAAAGACACAGACCTACTAGAGAATGGCCTTGAGGATATGGGGAGGGGGAAGGGTAAGCTGTGACAAAGTGAGAGAGTGGCATGGACATATATGCACTACCAAACGTAAGGTAGATAGCTAGTGGGAAGCAGCCGCATAGCACAGGGAGATCAGCTCGGTGCTTTGTGACCGCCTAGAGGGGTGGGATAGGGAGGGTGGTAGGGAGGGAGATGCAAGGGGGAAGATATATGGGAACATATGTATATGTATAACTGATTCACTTTGTTATAAAGCAGAAACTAACACACCATTGTAAAGCAATTATACTCCAATAAAGATGTAAAAAAAAAAAAAAAGAATTACCATACGACCCAGCAATCCCACTACTGGGCATATACCCTTAGAATCCATAATTCAAAAAGGGTCATGTACCACAATGTTCATTGCAGCTCTATTTGCAATAGCCAGGACATGGAAGCAACCTAAGTGTCCATCGACAGATGAATGGATAAAGAAGATGTGGCACATATATACAATGGAATATTACTCAGCCATAAAAGGAAACGAAATTGAGTTACTTGTAGTGACGTGGAGGGATCTAGAGACTGTCATACAGAGTGAAGTAAGTCAGAAAGAGAAAAACAAAACTGTATGCTAACACATATATATATGGAATCTAAAAAAAAAAAAATGGTCACGAAGAACCTAGGGGCAGGATGGGAATAAAGACACAGACCTACTAGAGAATGGACTTGAGGACGTGGGTAGGGGGAAGGGTAAGCTGGGATGAAGTGAGAGAGTGGCATGGACATATATACACTACCAAATGTAAAACAGATAGCTAGTGGAAGCAGCCGCATAGCACAGGGAGATCAGCTCTGTGCTTTGTGACCACCTAGAGGGGTGGGATAGCGAGGGTGGGAGGGAGATGCAAGAGGAAGGGGGTATGGGGATATACGTATATGTAGAGCTGATTCACTTTGTTATACATCAGAAACTAACACACCATTGTAAAGCAATTATACCCCAATAAAGACGGTAAAAATAAAAAAGTTAAAGGACTCAAATATTACTAGAATTTGCCACCTCCTTCTTGGTAAGTTATGTGGTCTTAATGAAGAGTTTATCACTTAGTAATTCATTAAAAAGTAGTGAAGGCTCTACAGTGGATTTAGGATTTGTGGCTGTCATTCTGAATATAAGTAAAAGTAGCATTATATTGGCTTAAGTCTAATAAACTTAAGCACACTGAAATCTTCTCACCCCCATGGGTGTGTGATGGTTTGAGTTTTTGTGACTGTACAATTAGAATGACTGTTTAAGGGGAGAGCTTTTCTTTTCTCTCTGAATAGAATCCATTTTATCATTAATTGTCTCCCACACAAGCCTGCAATTAAAATGTATCAAATAAACTGTTTAATCATAACTGAAAAAAAAAAGAATGAGTCCAGAACATTTATGATGCAGTTTGGCAAACCGGTCAATAAGACCTGCCAGTTCATGTTCCTAATCTAAGATAAATTACCATCAAAATGGATAACAACCAATATTTATATCTAATAGCTTATGCAGGTCATCTATAAATAGAATATGGATTAGCAAATACTTGTTAGACTGATGACAGCTCGGACTTGTCTTATTGTCCCAAACTCGTATCATCTTTGAATAAAATTTCTTCATACTACTCCTATTTTAAAAGTGTTATCAATAGTCTGTGAATACTGTTAATACAAAAGAAAAAAGTATTTCTGAGAGTAATAAGATGTACATGAAAGATATACCTTAAACAGTAATAAAATCAATAGTTTGCACCAATAAAATCGAGAGTGTTGCTCTTGGAGAGGCAAAAACACACACAAAAAATGTATCAGAGCCTGGAAGGCGAATTCATAGAAGGGAAACTACATTTCTGACTTTTTCTTAAAGAATAAATGCAAAGGTACAAGCTATAAACAAGCTGCATTATGTCAAAGTCAAACAGCAGTTTGGAAACGCAGATACAATTTTACCCCTGGATCATGAAGCAACTGGCATGACAAAGGAGTTGTCAGTACTGCCTACAGGTTTCTAGGTCAACATTAACACTCACATTCAGAAAGATGATGATGCTCTGTAGTTGCAGGCAAGGCTCTCCATGATGTGATGGAGAGGATTGACATTTGAAAGGTATTGTTTTGATTTACAACCACTTAAGAAAACCTTCAATGACTGATACCATCGCCTCATGTCCCAGTGGAGGCAAGCGTGTCGCAGAGCGGTTAAGTGAGTGTCTCGGGTCCCATAAGTAGGAAGTGACAGTGATGACTTACACTCACATCCTCTGTCTACACGGCTAGTGCTTTAACCACTGGGCCATATGGGCTCTCAAATATTAGGAAGGCGCCCAGATTGCAATGTCCTTAGAGAGGTACAGTTCCAACTACTGAGATACAATTCTCTGTGGGTCTCTTGCATCTCTGCACGTCTTGAAAGCAGAAACATTGACTGCTTTTGTTCTGGACTATCTTACTAAGCTTGTAGAGTGGAGAGCATTGCAACACAGTGATGTGGTCTCCCTATGGAGCACTGGACAGGCATCCTTACTGTGTATTAAAAATACGAGAGTTTCCTAAGAGCAGGATTCCATTCCCATACTCAAGCCAGTGTGTTGACAGGTGTCAACTGACCATCTTAACATTGTCTCATAAGAATCAGCCTCAGGAAACCCACTTAAGAAAATGCTGATAATCTGGCCACTGCTATTTTTAAATGAGTAATAGAAGTCCTTTGTTTGTGAAAACAAGACAAAACAAAACAAAAACTTTTCTAACTTGGAAGTGGGTCTATGTTCTGTAGTGCCTATGGTTTATTGCTGTTTTGGGGGCCCCCTTGAAGGAAAATAATACAAAATTACGTTTACAAAATTGAGCTCAGGGCTGTGGTGTTGGCAAGTGAGGGGCCCTGCTGTGGAAGTTCTCGTCATGGTAAATTCAGCTTTGTCAGAATTATACTTTTGGAAGTCATAATTTTCCAATTTCACAAATGGCCCTAGATGATTTTTCACTCCCCAAGTACCAAGTCTATAAACTGCATAGTGCCTCATCTTAGAGAATAGCTCTTAATTTTTGTTTTCTAGGAGAAATAAAAATCTAGAGGATCTCTCCCATGCCATGGGATTTTCAACACCCTCGTGTCTTGCTTGGATTTATAGGCAGTCTAGGGAGTATTTTGGTTTTTTCATCCATCGACTCTATAAAGCAAGTATGACCAAACTAGTGTCTTAAATTAAATTGTTTTCTAAAACCTGTCCTGGTTAGATTCCAGCATAGTTGAGCCCATACTCCTGGAAAAACTGAATTCATGGGAATTGTACCATGATGTTGATAGAGTTTCACCTTGGGTGTGTGGTAGCTTTCTGAGCCGAAGTGCGAGAAGAAACATATTTTGAGTGACACTCGGAAAGTAGCAAATTGTCTTTTGCATACAGCACTGAAGACGAAAAATAGCTTCACTCATTTTGCTGTATGAAATCAATCATGGTAAACTCTTAAAATATTTAAGACCATTAACAAGTCATATTTGTGTATTGCTCACAGATAACAAGAGCAGGTTAAATGTTAGAAAATATTTACTTGAACTCATAAAATATGTAAATTAATAAACAATTAAGAAAATGAATACAGTTCACCTACTTTTGAAATATTACTTGATCGACTTGCAGATCGCCCTGGGGATTTGTCGTTCTGAAAAATAAAATTAGAGACATTGATTAAAAACAGCAGTATTCTTTGCTGCTGAGAAAAGAAAGCACAGCATAGGCCAACGTGTAGATGTCCTCTGTATTGTCCTAACAGACATAAAAATTGCTTACACAGAATGGTATTACTTTTACCAAATTTTATTTCTCTAGTATATATAGGTGTCCTTTTGAAAATGTTTCAATTATTATCAGGTTATATATCAGTCTAGGAATATTTATTTCCAGGAAACACTTATTTCTCTAGAAAAACATATGAAGTTCCTTTGAAATAGTAATTCCTTTGAATTAGTAATGAAAATAATAGTCCATTATCTCCCCTTTTTTTCTTCTACCAGTAAATTCCGGTCCTCAGTGTCAGTAAATATTGCATACTGGGTACATGGTACATAACATCTAACTCCTGTTCTGCTAAAATACATTTTATCTGTCTGTTCAGTTATTTTATTTTCAAAATTTTAAAAAAATTAAAGGTAATTTAAAATTTTAAAACATTTAATCATTTAAATTAAAAATATTGAGAAATTATTTTAAAATTTAAAACTTAATAATAAGTTTTAAAAAATTATACCTCAGTTCTTGCCTCTTAAGGAATTTCCAATTTCAGAGGAAAGAAGCATGAAAAAAAGCTTTTGAATAGATACATTTTTTTAAAAGTCATGCAACTGTAAAGTCGAATGGGTCCTTGAAGAGTGGCACTACCTCATTCAAAGCCTGGAGGCCTTCTGTTGCCTGTAAGCCGGGCCAGTCCAGGGCCTTATGGCTAGAGCTGGTGGGAAATTGACCTGACAAATCAGAATGTGTGGTACCTATACCAAGAGATCACAGCACACCTTTCCTGCTGTGGAAAAAATGTTGGAAGAGACTGTTCTGGAAACCAAAAGTTTGTGAAGGATCTGTATTTAGCACTTTAGGATTCTTTTTAAAAAACATTTCTGAGCATCTGGACTCAACACCACAATGGATCTGAGTAGACAACTACAGTGCATCTTGACAGGGGTCTTTTTTTTTTTTTTTTTGCGGTACTCGGGCCTCTCACTGTTGTGGCCTCTCCCATTGCGGAGCACAGGCTCCGGATGCATAGGCTCAGCGGCCATGGCTCACGGGCCCAAGCCGCTCCGCGGCATGTGGGATCCTCCCGGACCAGGGCACGAACCCGTGTCTCCTACATCGGCAGGCGGACTCTCAACCACTGCGCCACCAGGGAAGCCCCGACAGGGGTCATTTTTGAGAAGGAAGCTGTTATAACAACCTGTGGGTCTGAAATTGCCTGTGATGACTGCTCGAGACAGTTTCAGAAACACAGGGTAAATGTGTTATGGTGGAAACACAGTAGCCGCATTCACTGCAAGCTGTCACTGTCTGGCACAGGCTTGCAGACATTTCAGCTGAACAGCACGTTTTCTTTCACATGCAACATCCATCTCATCCAACCACGGATGGCACGGTGGAGCATGTTATTACAGACCGAGATGAGTCGCAACTGTACGATTAGTTACACCTCGTAACAGCCCCGTGATCCAGCTGGAGATTAATGTGTGTGCTCCCTGAAGACATGTTTCCTTGATTAGCTTCCTCTGGTGATGGAGAGAGGTGCTTTTCTACTGACATTTCAACTTCTCTTCTAGAGACAAGAAAACAAAACCAATCCATCTTTCCTTCTCAGTGAAATTGAGGATTTTGACACAGGACTGTAGAGCACAGAGGTCAATGATACATTAACAGGCTTTGAGAGCAGTTTGGTTGTCCTGGTTGTTTTACTATGTTTTCTATTTTTACATGATACTTGAGAACATGATCAAGGAACTAGAATTGAAAACTCTTCAGCAAGAACCAAGAAGTACTATTTGTACAAGAAATTGATCTGGCATCAGATTACTTAATTTTTCTAACCAAAGAGGACTTTGTCGTGTTTTGAGATTAAAAACAAGGAGGGCCACGTCCTTCCATAACTGTGAATGACTTCAGTGTGAGGTCGTAATAAGCAGATAATTCCCATATGCTTCAGCCTCCCCCAATCTAATGGGAGGAGGCCTCTGCTTTATTATTTCGTACTTCAAGAGACCTTTTACGCTGAAATCAGTTAGCTCTATTTCCTCTTAATACAAGGTTAGGCATTGAAGGAAATAAACAAGCTTAGGCAAAGGCTAACTTTTTGCCGTGGCTAAGATCTCTATTATTTCCATTCCAGTTAACACATGGGAACAGAGAGGTTACCCTATTGCTGCAATGGCGGTGATATAAAATGGGGTTTTGACTTGAACTAGACCTGTACCCGTGCACTAGTTCTAGCAGGAGTGTATTTGAGATCCCAGACCTCCAAATTCCTCACTGTGAAATGGGCAGATAATATATTGGGGATTGGATTAAATGAGTTATAGATAAAAACAGTTTAGAGATTACAAGTTTATAATATTTCCATTATTATTCACAGGTAGAGGAAACACCCAAAGAGCCCCCTCAAAAATCAGGACAATCATCACAGGTTACTAGACCCATAATTTTAACATAAACACCTCTCTATCCTGCAATTCTACCTCTACTGTGGATTAGATTCTGGCATATAAAATTCAAGGATGGAAAATCAAATTTCTCTCTACCAAAGGGGATTAAGGAAGTCTGGTCTGCCTTGCTTTTGAAGCAAAGCTCCACAAGCACTTTCCCTCTTGGAACACTTCCAAAGCAATCTGTTCAATTTGCTACTAATTAATTGAATGGCTTGTCCCATTACTATTGCAATGACATATTCTTCTTTGTAGATTAGCCAAATATGGTTGTCATACCTCATTATGATCAGTTTAAATTTTTACCTTAGATTAAATAGAAGCTGTCTCAGAATCTAACATAACTTACTGGTACCCAAATTATAGGGACCTTGTAGGTCACTAAAAGCTGAAACCAACAAGAGTTCCAGACAAGTCCACATGAAAATTATGGGATCTTCAAGCAATAATTTTGATGAGCTATCTTAGTAGATCAATCTTAGCAGATTGTTCACAGTATGCAGAGGGAGAGACTTCTAGTTTCATAAGCATGTTTAAATCTTTTCAAAATTTCTAATTTTTGGTTTCATATGAATGAATCTGCTATTGTTAGCTTGGTTTTGTGATTATTATTATTAATATAATAATTGTTTTTCAAATTTGACCTTACTAAACATGGTTGGATTTTTATTATCAGCAAGAAAAAATGATTACCAAATGAGGAAATCGTTACTAAGTTGTTTTAATATATTTAATATTGTAATCTAAGGAAAGTGACACAGTTCCTTTAAAAGGGGATGCTCTGTGTTAAAGAATGCATAATGCAGTGGACTTGTATTTATCTACAGAGGAATACTCTGTATATCCATCAATCAGAAGACGGCAGTAAGGAAGCTTAAAGGAGGGTTTTATTTGTTTGTTATTTTTTATGTAAACTAAAGGAAAAAACAAATTATTTCTGACTTCAGAAATCAGAATAAGACAATCTCACACAGACCACTGCTATGATGCTATTCTGTAGTTTTCCTCCTTTGTCCTCTGCCCCACCCGCTCTCACCCCAGGCTAAAACTCAAGGTATTTGAAAGGAGAAAAAAAAAAATGAGGCAATTTTAAGGGTCATCTGAAAAATTCTAAGTAGACCATGAAACTATTTCTGTGAGAACAATTAAAGAATTAAAACTTGAAATAGAAGAAAAGTCTTTGAAAGCAATGTGGTTTGTAAACAAAAAATAAATGATACAGAGGAACTGAATAATACAATAAAACTCAATTAATAGACGTATTAAAAATCTCATGTCCTTTAAATTAAAAATACTTTAAAAATTTATGTGGCTTCAAATAACACCTCCACAAAAATCTTCAAGTAGAGATTTTATAGGGTACTTCCTTTGATATTGAGTCAGCAAAATTAGAAATAAAAATTTGAAATATTACTAATAAATCTTGATCACCTCAAAACTAACACATTTTAAGATAACGCTTGGTCCAAAGAAATAACTAACTGGAAAATTACAGACAGAAACTCTGGAAAATGTTATACTAAGACCTATGTAACACAACAAAAGCTATATCCAGGTAAATATTTATGACTGTAAAGGCCTTCGTTATTAAAGAACACAGTAACAAAAGAATGCAGTAAAAAGAAATAATAAAAAAGCTAAAACTCATTAAATGGATATAAATAAGAAGGATAAATATTTCTCAAAGCAGGTTTTTGAAAATAATTACAAAATAGATGAATTTCCTATAAGACTTATTAAGGAGAACAGAAATATGTAAGAAATAAGAAAGGATAATCAAGGACACAGAAAGGAATAGAAAAATTATAAGAGAATGCTCCATGTAATGGTATTACAACAAATTTGAACACCTAGAGGAAATGGACCACATGCTAGCAAAATAAAAGTTGTCAGAATTTATTCAAGAAGAGGAAAATTTGAATAGATAATTAACAAAGAAGAGATTGGGTAAGTAAATAAAAGTCTATGTGCCCTGCAAAGGATAAGAGCATGATGATTTCACAATTGAGTTGTATCTTACTTTTAAAGGACACATAATTCTAATTTTATTTACAGTATTCTTGACCATAGGAACATAAACTTCCTTAATCCATATTATTAATTCTGCATAAATTAATCTCCAAATGTGTTAAGACAGTATCCAAAAAGATATAAAGAGGGAAAAGAAAATTATGCTCTGGTCTTAATTTGGACTACAGACACAAAAATTCTTTTAAAATATTAGCATATATCTAATAGTAGTATGCATCTTTGATACACCAGCAGTGTACCAAAAAATGCTGAAGGAATAAAATAAATAGGATTTATTCCTGATACTTCCTTATCAGGAAATCGATCAACAATTCATTAGATTAATACATCAAAAGCAAAAAACTATGATCTTATAGTTAAGATGTTTAACAAACCTCGACAGTGTTACCAGAATGTAAGCTCTGAGTAAAATAAAAATTGAAGGAAATCTTTAAAAGTGATAAAGACAATA